AGGGAGATAGGGAGAGCGAGATAGATAGATAGATAGATAGATAGATAGATAGATAGATAGATAGATAGATAGATAGATAGATAGATAGATAGATAGATGGTTAGACATAATGCCTTTACTGAATACGGGATATATCTTTTCAAACAATATGAATCCTTTACTTAATTTTCAGCCAAAATGTGTGCCTGCCACCACGTATACATGCAGTCTTTTAAAATCTTTTACCACGCCTCCATCGACATAATATAGATCGTAAAGAAAGCGGGCTTCGGCTCGGTCTGTGGCTGATAAGCCGGGCTGAGAGGGATACAACATCCTGGCAGAAAAAAAAAGATATTCGATAAAATTCCCCCCCGGGTACGGGACTCGAACTTGGGTCTTTTGCTGTTGAACAGTGATCCGCTTAACCGCTGTAGGGTACTCTTGAGTAATACCTCTCATCTTCCGAACTCTTCATTGCTTTGCTGTGTCGTCAACTCATACTGAAACTGTGTCTGTGCAGCTCTGTACGGAAGTCTGTTCTCCGCCAAGCCAGAGCCTGCCTTCGCTAACTACCGCCTGTGGGAGTCCCTGGGATTCGCCGTCACCTACGCCTACAACGACGAGCTTTGTACTGAGTATGTAAACATTGATAGATCTCCTTACAGTGATTGAATGTAATACACAGCGTGCTTATTAGGTTTCTACTCAGCTACACCGGTTTCGGAACCGTCATTGCTTTTCTAAGTCATTGAACAACAATGTTGTATAATCTTAACTGAACCAAACGTCTCGCAGAGTAGTTATGGGTTACAATTCCATGAATGCATACAAATAATTATCGAAATATATATTATGATCATGAAGTATACTTCAATAAATATAAAACGATAAGTCTGAAGTGAATAATATAAAATGTGTGGCTTCGGGATGAAATCAAGCGCTCGTCAAAATAATTTTTTAAACGAAGAAGCCAAATGTGAGGCATCGTGGTGGAATCAGGCTCTCGTCAAAATAATCAAAGTGAAGAAACTTGCATTTTTCCGCAGGTTTTTGAATTTTCACCAAATTTTTGGTTTTTTGCCTCAACACATTTCATGCCCATTAAAAAAACTCATTTCCGTGTGGATTTTTCTGAAAACGTTAATTAAAGGCACAAAAAATGTAAATTTTCAGTTACCACGGACTCTTAAGCTAAGGAAATAGCTAATCTTTGGCGGCCATTTTCTCATTAATTTTACCTCTGAAAATAGGTGACCCCCACCTTCTTCATTCGCAAATATCTCGACTTGTATTCAAGATAAATGGATATTTTTTTCACCCAAATAAAGACAACTGAACAAGCGTTAAGATGATACCAATAACTCTACCTGCCCAAAAATTGACGAGAGGCTGATTCCACCACGCTGCCTCACAAATGATAAATCTGAAGTGAATAATATAAAATGTGTGGCTTCGGGATGAAATCAAGCGCTCGTCAAAACAGTTTTTTTCAACGAAGAAGCCAAATTTGCTCTGCTCATTGGGCAATGTTTGTCCATGTTTTTCTCTACTTTCCAGAACGAAACTGTACATCTGCCTTGGAGTCCTTGCCACGGGAATGCTGGGCTACACTGCAGTGGAAGTGATGAGCTGGAAGGACAAGCGGGGGAAAATGGACATGGCTGAAGGCAACAAGTAGGCCTTCTTGCCCCAGATATGACGTGCCTTAAAATTATTATTCTCCACATCTGAAGGATGGATTGTGTTTGAACCATCTGTCTTTTGTATTGTACTATTATTGTGCATGTGTGGTGCTGTGCTTGCAGTCGAAGTAACATGTTCTATTAAAATAAAAACCATTGCCATTTCAAATATCTTCTGACTAAAACGAATAAATATACATATTATATTTTTGCTGCATTTATGGAAAACACGTGTCCGTAATTCCTTGTGAATGCAGGAGACACAGAACAACGTACCCAGTCCTGGTTATCCCGAGTAGACGATAGCATGTGTTTAGACGTCGCTATAACTGTCGGAATCATGGGAATAGAAGACAAAGGTTTCTCATTTCCTTTGATTTATTAAACTCTTTGTGTGAGTAGAGTTTGCCACACGGATCAAACAAATGAAGGCGTCAAGTCGGAAAACAGTAAACAGCTCCGGCTCTTCTTTATTTTAATGGCCTATTACCCCGAGCTAATGCTTTGTGATGGTGCTGTAAAGGTGAACAAGAAAAGCTGTCGTCAGTGCCGGAGCGCACAGTACTCCCCCCTCGCCCCTTTTTGTGCCCGCTATCAACAGACACACAAACATACAAATACTTCACACCATTCGAAGAGGACAAAATGAACAAAGTAAAGAAACACATTTTTAAAAAGCAAACCAAAAAAACAAACCAAAAAACAAACAAAAAAAACAAAGCAATTAATCCCGAAAGACACACATTGCAAATATTTGAGCTTAGATAAGCACAGGTGGTGGGAATATCGTTGATGTATTCAATTCCATGCAAGTTATTCTTCAACGGTCTTCAGTTTTAGTATGTGCTCCCTATAGCTTTTGTGTATGTGTGTGTGTGTGTGTGTGTGTGTGTGTGTGTGTGTGTGTGTGTGTGTGTGTGTGTGTGTAAGTGTGTGTGTGTGTGTGTGTATGAGTGTGTGTGTAAGTGTGTGTTTGTTTTGCTTTTTAAAATATATGTTTGGGAGAACGCTCACCACAATCCAACCGTTTAGTTTAATTCCATACTACGTGTTCGATGATAATGTTTCAAATTTTGTTGAAACCGTTTCTTTAGAAACAAACTTTATTGGGTATCGTTTTAGGACCGTCTGATCGTCTTAACATTTCCTTCGATGCTCAGTTACGTAATAGTGTGCCTCTGCGAAACGTCTCGCTGCTCGTGGCTTGAACATCGGTTGAGTTAAAGCGTAGCACTGATATCTCGGTATAATTACAAGGTATTTTTTTAAAAATATATACCTGCAACAATGGTCATGAAACAATCTAAGCAAAGTGCTCAAGGCATCTTCGAAATGCCTGTCTAAAGTGCTTTTGAAAGCCTATCTAATGTGCCTTTTAAAACCTAACGGGTAAAATAAAGTGCCAATATAAGTGTTTTTGGGTTCAAATTACATGCATGGTACGTCACCCACGGAATGAAAAAAGAAAAATATTCTGTCGGAACCAAATTGTTTTATGCTCACAAGGTGAGACGCCTTGCAAAATGTGAGGCAGCGTGGTGGAATCAGGCTCTCGTCAAAATAATCAAAGTGAAGAAACTTGCATTTTTCCGCAAGTTTGTGAATTTTTATCAAATTTTTGTTTTTTGGCACAACACCTTTCATGCCCATTAAAGAACTTAATTCTGTGTGGATTTTTCTGAAAAACGTTGATTAAAGATACAATAAATGTAAACTTTCAGTTGCCACGGATTCTTAAGCTACGGAAATAACTAACCTTTGGTGGCCATTTTCTCACTAATTTTACCTCTGAAAACAGGTGACCCCACCTCCTTCATTCGCAAATATCTCGACTTGTATTCAGGATAAGTGGATATTTTTTCATCCAAATAAAGACAAGTGAACAAGCTTTAAGATGATACCAATAACTCTACATGCCCCAAAATTGACGAGAGCCTGATTCCACCACGCTGCCTCACAAATGACATCTATCTTTATGCGCTGAAGAAATCCCTATTCATATGTTTCAATGAAATCAGTCCTTTTGGATAAAGTGTTAAGATCTATGTCCCAAGATGCTACACATCTGCCTTTGTGCCTTATTTGGCTAGTAAACGATTTTGTATTCCCTATTTGGAAGAATTTTTCTACAATTATCACTGTTTTCATAATTATTGTATCTCTGATTATGTGTGTATGTATACGTGTTTATGTGTGTATGCATGTGTGTTTATTTGTATGTGTCTGTGTGTGTGTTTGTGTATGAGTATGTGTATACCTGTGACTCTTTTGAGAGTAAGAAAATAAGAAAAGATATTATGATGAGAGCGAGAGTGAGAGAGAGAGAGAGAGAGAGAGAGAGAGAGAGGGAGATGGAGAGAAAGAAAGAAAAGAAATATACAAGATGAAAGAAAGCAAAAGATTACAGCTGTCTGTAAATGTGGTGTGCTTTGTTCTAAACGTAATCTATGATAAATGACGGTGTGTCCACTGAGGGGAAGTTCTTTGTCACATGACAACCGTGGATATCTTTTCCTTGTCGTAGATTTTTATTAAGACTATGTAAGCTTTCTTCATACATCATTCGTAAGGTGAAAAACCTATTCCTATACGAATTGGTAGCGGCATATTACATTTTAGAAGCATAATGCTTATTTTTGTATATATGAAAAGCTATTAAATGTGTTTTGTACAAACATTCAATTATAGAGACTCTGGGTTTCTTTTTGTTATTCTATCATGTAAGTTGAGTTCATATGTCCAAGGGTTGATGAATGCAACTTCAAAAGTATTGTATTAATGTCCGGAATATTTTATTTCCCTGAAACAGTGTGTTTTTGGGGGGCTGTCATAAAGCATTATTTTTATCTCATATATTTTGGGTTTTTTGCTTTTGGGTTTTTTTCCCCGTTATTTAAACAATTTAGTATTTAAAAGAGCATTGCAAAACTAGGTACTTGCAACCCTCCCCCCCCCCCCCGGGCTTTGCACCAGACTGAAATATCTTTAAGCCATTCCCAAAGGGGGGGGGGGGGGCATTTCTCATTCTATTGCACAGTAGAATTTGTAAATGGGCTTATCCAACAATGTCATGCTCATAACCGTGTCTGAACTACAACAGGGAACTGCTGCTTTTTCTTTCCTAATCCTTAATAGGGTCATTTTCCTCTACTTCTTTTGTATGTTTGTCACACTCTTGTGACCCACTATTTCCAGGGTGCCTTGATAGTCGAAGTAGACTTTGTGCTGTTGAAGCTAGAGAGGTGAGCAGAGTAAGTCTGATTCCCCGAAAGGACTTCTCTGTTGACATCCACCCCTTGGCGCTCATATGACCTTATGCAGTTGCGAGCGCCGCAAAACCTCTACTGAAACAAAACAAACAAACAAAAATTTCCTCATATATGTGTATCCTTTTTTTTTTTCGAGTTTCTTTCTGCCTTTTCATTTTTCTGAGTTTCCCTCTCTTTCGAAATATGTGAAGGGTGCTAACTAAATGAGTTACTTCTCGGATTTGAGCCTTATAGAAATCGCTACATTACGCTTATAGGTGAAGTTTTTTACAATTTATAAGTCCAGACCATCAATGATTTATTTATAGAGGCACCAGCCATCCATGTCCAGGTGCTGTTTTAGCCAACACAATTTATAAGTATGAAATAATATAAGGCATGTTTTACTTAAAGAATATGACATCAATAGAAAATCTACACATTTGGCCCCAGTGTTGATTTTGGGCTATTATCTCCATTTGTGGATTGTGAGAAGTAACTCATTTTGTCAGCACGTCTCACATATAGTCAAGCCAGGTAAGAACCAACCATCGAAAGTCTTCAATCGGTAGATTTATGTTTGATTTTTTAGAGAATGTGTCTGCTCTGTTCTATAAAAAGATATGCTGTTGGCTCTAATTCGAGCAAGTGTATCCGAACAAACTATGTCATGTCACATGAGACAACAATAAGTGAGGCAGCGTGGTGGAATCAGGCTCTCGCCAAAATAATCAAAGTGAAGAAACTGACATTTTTCAGCCGGTTTGTGAATTTTTATCGAATTTTTGGTTTTTGACTCAACACCTTTCATGCCCATTAAAGAACACATTTCTGTGTGGATTTTACTGAAAAACGTTGATTGAAGGCACAACATAATTAAATGTTCAGTTACCACGGACTCTTAAGTTAAGGAAATAACTAACCTTTGGAGGCAATTTTCTCACTAATTTTACCTCTAAAACCATGCGACCCCCATCTCCTTTATTCGCAAATATCTCGACTTGTATTCAGGATAAATGAATAATTTTTTCATCTAAATAAAGACAAGTGAACAAGCGTTAAGATGATACCAATAACTCCACATGCCCAAGAATTGACGAGAGCCTGTTTCCACCGCGTCGTGACACACATTCAATGCACATACTGGCAAGGAAATCACAACACTGGAAGAGACAAAATTGAAAACCTTTATACGGGGTGCCCACTACGGATGGGATCGGCAGATCGGGCCGATCGCCCGACTCGATCGCCTCAAAAGCAAACGTGGTTGTTGTTTTTTCAGGGCCAGGCGACCGAGTCGGGCAAGCCTTAGTGTGCACCACGTTTTAGAAAGATAAATCCCTTCCTTCGACATATCGATGTGAGTATCTAACAACACAGGAAATGTGACATCAAAGGTTACCGCACGGTGAAAAAAAGGAAGAAAATCTTTCAAATGTCGAGGTCTGCAACAGTTGTAGGTGACCTTGGTTCAACACTTATTTCTCAGCTTGGGATTTCTTCAAAAGCCTATATCATTGTATTATTCCGTCTATTGCCGTCACTCAAGGGTGCGGTGGCGGAGTGGTTAGTGCGCTCGTCTCCAAAGCGGAAAGTCTGTGTTCGAGCCTCGTTTCGGACACTGATTGTTTCCGCCCCCTCCTGCCCACCCAGCAGTAATGGGTACCTGACTTCGAGTTGGGAAAGTAAAGGCGGCGTGGAAAGGAACTGGCCACCCTACCACAATAAATTATATGCCGAAGGCCCATGAAGTTGTCCCACTAACAAGGCAATCCCCAAATGTCCGGATCAGATGCGGGAACAACTTGACTTGTTACCGTCCCTCGTCTGTTCACGTGCACTTAAGTGAGTTATTCTTGGCCTATACCTTTGCCTCCTTCATCTTATATTTTTTCCAGTGAGAGCAAGAGACGTTTATAGCTTTTGTATCAATTCGTTTCAAGTGTACTGGGAACTGCATTGGCCTCTTCCTTATTGTTTTATTAACAAGAACAATTTGATTAACTGGATCTGTCTAAGCCCTGCTGACCTGCAGCCTCTCCCATACTAATGGTGAGCAGAGGTCACTCAACTGATGACCCTGTGGGTGGTTGGGGGTGCTCTGGTGTGGTTTGCTCCATCTTTCCTATCAAACATCTTTTGTCTTTATCTTTCTTCTTTCTTTTTATGTTATGTTACTCTTTTGTCACACCACTAACCTTCGGCACTTCTGTGGTCTAATTGTGTGGCAAGTACAGTAGCACTCGTACGAAAAGAAAACGAATGGTGACCATGATGTCTTGAAAACCTGGATTTGGCTCAACTATATGTGAGGCAGCGTGGTGGAATCAGGCTCTCGTCTATATGTGAGGCAGCGTGGTGGAATCAGGCTCTCGTCTATATGTGAGGCAGCGTGGTGGAATCAGGCTCTCGCCAAAATAATAAAGAGTGACGAAACTTGCTTTTTTCCCCAGGTTGGGAATTTTTATCAATTTTTTTTAATTTTTGGCCCAACACCTTTCATGCTCATTAAAGAACTCATTTCTGTGAGGGTTTTTCTGAAAAACGTTCCTTAAAGGCACAACAATTGTAATTTTTCAGTTACCACGGACTCTTAAGTTTAGGAAATAAATAATCTTTGGCGGCCATTTTCTCACTAATTTTACTTCTGAAAACAGGTGACCCCTACCTCCTTTCGCAAGTATCTCAACTTGTATTCAAGATAAATGGATATTTTTTAAATTCAAATAAAGACAAGTGAACAAGCTTTAAGATGATAGCAATAACTCAACATGCCAAAAATTTGACGAGAGCCTGATTCCACCCCACTGCCTCACATTAAACAAATGGAAATATTTTGGTGTCCCTTGTTTGCCTCTACTCCCTTCCCCCTGGTCGTAAAAGAATGATTACGGGATGTAAGGCTCACGCACAAATGGTCTCGAAGTTCAATAAGAGCCGCGGTTCGACAATATTACCAAACCATCCCCTAAAATGACCCATGATGCTTACAATAAATCTCGTGGGCTCTTTCAGTAGTTAGTTTTCCATTGAGAAAAAAACCCAACAGATTCTTAGATCCAGTTCTTGAAAGAGATTCAGTTCATCATTATTTTATCTAAACTGAACAGAATAGATCCCTAGCAATTGTTACTTATTTCTGCGTGTTAGTCTCCGGTTTCCCGTCAGCATGCTTATATTCAACCCGTTTGCATTCACATTTTCTATTAACAGTTT